TTTGTTTGCCATAAATCAATGAGATTAGGAATAACAAATCTCCGACGAATTGATATGTTTGGACAAAGTAGGCTTAAGTTCGATTTTGTTTGCCATAAACAATAATAACCTCATATTATTTTTACAATTACAAAATAAAAGCACAATTATGATCAAACAATGAATAGCAATTACAATGTACAAAGAAAAATAAAAGCCACCAAATGAGCCGCATTTTTAAACCAAAATATATTTCCCTTCCAAGACTGAAGAAATACCCAAGAGAACCTGATGAGAAGGATTACCAAGACAAGAATGTCGACATAAGTTAAAATGCATCCCATGATGATACACAACCATTTGACACTTCCAAGTAAAAAAAGAGCCTCCATGATAAGAAGAATTTAGCAGCCATGTGTGCGCAACACAAGGGTCTTCAACGTCCATCATTTGAGACCCAACGAGAAGATAAAGACTTGCATCATACCAGAACGTCCATTATTCATCGTCTCGAATTCAATAGAGGATCTCGACAAGTGAAAAGACACCCTTGATCAGGTTTTCACTCAAATGTCATCAGTTATTGGCGAATCAATCTCATGACAAGGGGGCACCATAAGATGAATATACATCCCCAAAGAATCCTCAAGATTCACCAATGTCTTTATAGAATGAGATTTCTTCAACAAGAAGACTGAGACAGAACCCATCAAAGATCATTTTCGATTATCGACCATTTAAGATAAAAACAAATTTTCACAACAAGAAAAAATTATCTCCATAATCCATCAACCAGACTCATACCTTAGGGGCAAGCCGAAAAAAAACATCAATATGAAGCTTCAAATGACTAAGGCCATACCATAAGATTTTCCCCTACTCACCTCTCATTTGGGACATGCACAATTTCCATACTTTGCAAAATCTTACCATTGGAGGATTACCAAACACATGCTACTTTGAGGAAAGTTCAAGAACTTTTACCATGGGACCATACAAAAATCGCTCGGACTCTCCACAATTAGCAAACCTATACCTCGAGCACATTTCCCACCCCCCCCCCCCCCCCCCCCCCCCCCCCCCCCCATCAATATGGTGACTAGAATCTTGATAGTAGCCAAAGTATCGTGACCTCAAAGCACCTATAGGAATGAGTAAGAGTGAGAGTGAAAGCAAGGGCTTATGGATATTCTCATTGGCTTGGCTTCTAAAAATAAAATTTTAACGTGTTATTCAAGTTGCACACACATCTCTCGGGCAAGGCTTTGGTTTCTAAAATCATGTTCCCATTATTGCTTTCTCAAACGAGGTTTTTCAAACATTGTTTGCATTCATCTTAAATCAATATTTGCAAAAGTCATGCTTTGTTTCAAAGCGTGGAAAGCAAGTCACATATATACTTGGGCAAAGGTATAAAACCAAGGGTAGAAGGAGTTCAAATACTCATAAAATGTATCTCCTAACTCTTCAGCTCATGAGTATATGAGGAAATTTCAGAAATCTCGAATCACATATGATTCAAGTACCCAAACAATCAGTCAAATCATCATTGAGAAACTTGACTAGAAGAGTGATCTCGATACACCATGACTACCAAACGAAGTACACAACTCAAGACTAGGCGTGTGGTACCCTAGATTGGCCAACCAGAAAGCTCAGAGTCGGCACTAACGAGACATGCCCGAAGATGAAAGTGCATAACATATCCCTAGATACAAAATGGTGAAGCCTATAGGAGGAAGAATTCGAAACTCCCATAACCCAAACTACTCAAGTTTCTCACCAATTCAAGAAGAGATCTCAAGATACCCCGTATATGTTGGACCAACGGGTCACTCAACTATCCTTCAAACCTATCGACGGAGTCGATCAAACACTTTAGAAAACCGAGATACAAGATAATACCCCGAAATGACAAATTCCTCTTTCACGAAATGCTCGCATATCAAGAAGATTGAACTAAAAGATCACTTTATATCAAGGCTACCATGCTACAAAAATCACAAGCAACATCAACCTACCAAGAACATCTCATGAATAAGAAAATCATATGGCTAACACATCAGCCACTCAAGCACTAGTGTCCAAGTTGGACAAAGTAGAGGACCAACCTTTCACCAAGTCCCAGAAATGCCATACCTAGTGCTCAGTGAGTATATAAAAGAGGATAAACTAGATGGCAAGCCCAGTACCTCGAGATAGTGACACACGCCAACAAAAGAAAGTACCCATGTCGGCAGTATGCTACCCCATCGTGAGCACAACCAAGGATTAATTTTACTAAATGGGAATGACATATTTTCCTTGTGGATGATCGATTTAAGAGAATCCACGAAAAAAAACATCAAGACCATGATGAGGGATTATACTCTTTCTTTTGCATATCATCGAGACATCATCCTATAACCCATCATACAACCTTTTTCGAATGCACTTCACACGCATCGAATGGCATCATTCTCGATGCACTTCAAACTAATCATATGGCATCATCTAAAAAATTTACAAAATACCTTGCATTTTCACATCATGGTGAAGTCAAATTCAAATCTTTACCAATATCAAGTTTGGCACATACCTAAGATCTACCTAAGACTCTACCAATTGCTTGTTTTAACAACTCATGTCAAACACAAAAATCTATACCACTTGTAATCGAGTTAAACATTCGAATGTCCTTACATATTTTACCACCATGACTCACATGATCAATTAGGCTATACCGCCATGGATGAAAATCCCAGACCAAGCTATACCGCCACAAAACACAAATCAAGCTATACCGCCACGGGAAGCTCACCCAATCAAGCCATACCGCCAAAATACCAAAATAACAACTGAGGCCCTTTCGCCAAATTAAAGTACCAAATACCAACTCATGCCCTACCTCCCAAATACCAACTTAGGCCCTACCTCCAAAATACCAACTCATGCCCTACCTCCCAAATACCAACTTAGGCCCTACCTCCAAAATACCAACTCAAGCCCTATCGCCATGATGCCTAAATACCAACACAAGCCCTACTGCCCACGATACCTAAGAAAGAAGACAGGCCCTACCGCCACACAAAAAGACCAATGTAGGCTATACCGCCATGAAAGGAAACCATTGCAGGCTACACCGCCATAAAAAAAAGAAATCATTTCAGGCTATACCGCCAAGATATAAAGAAACCCAAGTCAGGCTATACTGCCATAGAAACAACAAAACTCAAACCAGGTTATACCGCCATGGGACCAACCAAACCCAAATCAGGTTATAACGCCATGGGGCAACATAGACCAAGATCAGGCTATACCGCCATGGGACCACGAATCCCAACCAGGTTGAACCACCATGTTAACAAAACCCAAATCAGGCTCTACCATCATGGGACAAAAAAAACTAAACAAGTCCATACTCTAAACCAGGGCATACCGCCATGAGAGTAAGCAAGTCCTTTTTGCTATACCGCATGGGAACAAACAAGCTATATCGTCGCTTGAACTTATTGATACTTTGTTTAGCTTTTAACAATATCTAAACCGGCAAAAAATGGTGTTTTAAGATAACTTTGTATACCTCTCAAATACCAAGAGATATACAAAGGGGGGCAACTGTAGACACCACTTTTTGTCCGGGTTAAAACCTTTCTACTAAAATAAAATTTAGTTCCACTTTAAGGTTTGAAATAGCAAATCTTGAATGACCTAGCTAAAACATATTTGTAATGCTTGGGTTGGATTTTGTTTGCCATAAATCAATGAGATTAGGACTAGCAAATCTCCGACGAATTGATATGTTTGGACAAAGTAGGCTTATGTTCGATTTTGGTTGTCATGCGAGTTAATCGATTCTTAAGACGTTGGATTGGACCTTGATTTCTTGATAATAAAAGAGAATTCATAACAAATTTTATTAAGATAAATAGAGTACTAATTAACCACTATCATGATTACAATACATAAAAAAGGGTTTCAAAATAAAGAATAAGATAATATTTTTATTAAAGTAAATAAATTACAAGTACAAGTACAATGCTAAACAATAATAACCGTATATTATTTTTACGATTACAAAATAATAGTACAATTATGATCAAACTATGAATAGAAATTACAATGTACAAAGAAAAATAAATAAATAAATAAATAAATAGACCCAATTAAATCTTGAAACAGAAGCCCACGTCAAAGTCAACCAAGTCCATCTACGGATGGCAATAGGTCGGGTTCCCACATGGCCAAGTCAACCCTCAATAAAGTCGAACCGGTCAGAGATCAAGTCTGACCAAACCCATATCGGTCAGACCAAATCCATACCGATCCGACCCAAAACCGACCCTATTGTAAACTTGGTGAACAATCTGCTTTTTCCTATAAAAACAACGCATACACTTCCTTTCGAGGGGGGAGACAATCAGCTTCTTCCTCCGCTTCCTGACAACAACAACCTCATCCTCCTCCTTATACTTCCTTTCCTCTAAACAAAAAAGAGGCCGACTTTCTTCTTCTTCTCTTCCTAACGAACTTCTTCCCCACAGCTTCCTTTCAATTCCCCTCCTAATCCCAATAGAAACAGAGCAGAAAAAGAGAGAAAAACTCTGCAAAATCCCACCTTCACTCCTTTTCTCAAGCACAAAACATAACACAAGAAAACTGAAATATGGAAGCAAAAGCAGCAGCAAGAAATCTACAGAAGAGGTCAGAATCATCAACGAAAGCTAACAACAACAATACAAGGAGCAGAAAATAAAATTTTGCATAAAGGAAAAGGAGCAGGAAGGAGAGGAAAGCAGCCACATCCCTTCCCCAAACTACAAAGACAACAGGTGAGTCCCATCCATCTTTCTATTATCACCATTCATAATCACATCTCATCTTCCTACCATGCGAAGTTTTTCTCCAACAAATCAACCAATTCAAGCAACTACCAACAAACTGGTTCTGTCAAAAAGAGGAATCAAAACCAATACTCGAAGTAAATGACAAGATGGTGATAGCAAACTCAATCAATAAAAAATCAGATCTATGATTAACTTCATCATTTTTACCATTTATGCTTTGTCATGTTTAAGCATATCGCAATAAAAACTAGATTTTGTTTTCTATCTCTGCTTGATTAGTTTGTATACTTTTGTTTCAGTGTATTTTGTCTCGTGTTACATTAAAATAAAACTCAAACTCATGAATCACCAAAACAAAGATTTGTAAACATTAGACCGAGAGATAGACGCTTGACTCAAAACATAAAAATAGATTTGTTTTAGTGTTCCCCCTCTCATCTAAACCCCTTTACCAAAGCTTAATTTCGAACCAAAACCATCTAGACACGAGGGTCATTCATCTCTGACGCCGGCGAATCCCTTTTCTTCCACACTGCGGTAACATTTGTTCCTCTGGCGACCCTTTTCTTTCTCTTCCCCGAGACGAGAAGTGACTGACATCGCCCCAAACCTAAAGCAAACAAATCAAAATACAATCGGAACCTTAAACAACATCAAAATCCAAATGAAAGCATACATGCATGGACGGAAACTTACCTACATCGATTTTCTTCTGATCGATTTGAGGTGGTCCGGACCATATTCTGTGGCCGGCGACGAGTGGAGAATCGAAATGAAAGGAGAAGGCAGACCGTGGTTTTCTGCTTTCCTTTCCATGGTCGTTTTCTTGTTCAGGGTGAGAGTAGAAAGAGAGAAGGAGAGGTGGAAGAAGAGAGATCGAGTGAGAGGAGTAAAGGGGGCGAGATAGAGAGGAAGAGTCAAAATCAATAGAGGAAAGGAGAGACTGAGTGGCGCCAAGCTTCAGAATAGGTTGGGGTTTTGTTTCATTTATAAACCTCGTGTTGCTAATTGACTAAAATGCCCCTTTAATTGCATTTTATTTACTCGTTACCAGCTTTAGATAAGAATAAAAAAAAAACTGAAAAACGTTTCTCATGAAGTTTCGAACGTTCAACCTTTCAACCAAATGTTCTGCAATTACAAGTCCAACCAGTTAGGCTACACGCATAATAATTGTGAAGATCGTTCGCTTTTGGTATTTTGGTGTTGGATTTTCGCCCAAAATCCAACATATGTTGGACTTTATAATGAATCCATGTTTGTTAGCATATAACGGATTTTGTTTCAATCTGTGGGGTCCACTAATATTGGATTATTTGGAGCTAAAATCCGTGGGCCCCATGGATTATAAAATCTTACCTCTATAGTTAGGATTTTGGAAGATAGATATAATCCATGATGTTTAATGACCGTGTTACCCCCACTCATTTTGTGTAATCCAATTTTGCCCTTGGTTATTATTATCTCTACTGAGGACTTTTGTCTACACTCTCATCTCACCAACTTTGTCTCTTCGTTGCCAAGGGATTACAACACAGCAAAAAGCTCCGGCAACCTTTTCCATCTCTGCCTATCGTTGTTTTGTCTTCCTTTTATATGAAGCTCAACAATTAATTATTTCATGCTTACATCCTCTTTTTTTATAATCCAATCCAAACCCTTGATTTTCCTTTCGACATTATTGGTTTGGGTTGAGAGTTTCAATTTACTTTAATGGCTTCTTGCGTGTATACAATATGACCAAATAGTATGGATGTTGCTGCCATTTTTACATATGCTAATTCTTCATGTATATACAAAAACATTCAAAATACAAGTAAAGTAAAAAGTGGTTCATTAAGGATAAGAAAGTAATTTCCCCCATCAAGCCATAATTCCAACCTACTAAAAGCCATTACCAAATCCTACAAACAAACATGGAAGTTTCAAAATCCAACATAATCAAAACTTAATAATAAGTTACATTTTGACAAAAACTTAAAAAAGTACACATATATAATAATATTTGTATCAATTAAACAAAATATTATGGCAATTCAAAAGTAACTTCTTGCCACATAAGCACTTGGAGAATTCACAAGTTGCCAAGGTGGACAACTTTTTTTGAAAACAAAAAATTCATTATTGATCTATTTATGGAGCTATCTCTCTCTTCTTTTAATATTTCTACTCATTTTTACTAAAAATTAATAATAAATGACATTTTTATGAAAATGTAAACAAACACACAAAAGTATAATATTTTTGTCAATTAAAAAAATATAAAGATGGAAAATTAATAATAAATGACCTTTTTATGAAAATGTAAACAAACACACAAAAGTATAATATTTTTGTCAATTAAAAAAATATAAATATGGAAATAGAGAGTGATATATCGAATTTTTTTTAAATAAAAAGTATATGATTAAATCTTATCAAGTAAATTTTTTTACTCATTTTCACCAAAACTTAATAATAAGTTACATTTTGACAAAAACTTAAAAAAGTACACATATATAATAATATTTGTATCAATTAAACAAAATATTAAATAGAAATATTGAAAACAAATTATTAAAAAAGTACACATATTTAATAATATTTGTATCAATTAAACAAAATATTACAATAGAAATATTGAAAACAAATGATTAAAAAAGTACACATATATAATAATATTTTTATCAATCGACTTCGAGAATGATATATATGAATTTAGATTTTTTTTATTAACAACTCTCTTATTTCTAATGTATTTTTTTGCCGAATTATTTATAATATATATTTTTATCAAATAAAAAATGTCTTATATAGCAAAAGGTCTGAATATAAACATGACTAAGCAATAATAGTTTTTTCTTTAAAAAACTTCTTATTCATCATGATTAAGTGAAAACATATATTCATATTCTACCTTCAGTTTCTCAAATTAAGAGTAATCAGGTGTGCAATAATTTATAATTTTTCCTAGGGTTTATATTAAAATATTCACTCTAGATCATATTAATTGAACGATCTCTATTGAGGTGATCAGTCGAATGCTAAGTAATTTCTTTTCAGATTTGGAGTTATTGTCGAACATTATTACATCAAAATTTTCAAAATGACTTAAGTACGATTTTTGACGAGTTTTGACTTCATACCTAGGATGAGACACAACATCACTTAAAAAACAACAGGTGTGACGGTTAAGAAAATCTTCGTTGAGGATGTACGATAAATATCACGTTTCATCAATCACTAACCTTAGCATTGATGAAATAAGGGTTGAAAAAATTTATTTATTAGTTGATGTCTTGGTAGACAAATCTAAATTCGAGAATTGAGGCAATAAATAAACATAAGTGTGTTAGTTGAGATATCTAACCAAAAAATTTTGTAGCTACAAGAATCTAAATTGAGGTATTGTGTTAAAATAAAGAATCTTTAATAAGGATGAGTTTAGTAAGGCAATTGTAATAAAACATTGGGGTCGTTTTCTTCGTGGATTTGAAAACTGAAAATTTTAATAAAACTTGGATTTTGTAAAAGCATGGATATATGAGGTTTTTTGGTTCATTATGGATTTGAAAATACCATACTTCATTTCATAGATTTCATGATGCATTTGGTTAATTGAATTTGTATGTTGGAAGTGAAAATGACATATATTACCCTCATTGGTATGAGAAGGGAAATGAATTATGAGGGGTAGGTTGGTCATAAATAATAGACTTCTAAGTCCATGATCAATTTCCATCTAAAGAGGTGAAATTTTCAAGTCCTTGGGCCCCACGAATTTGGATGCTTAAAATACACGAGACCCACATATTTGTTGCCTCTAAATACATGACGCAAGCAATGGTTGGACAAAGTTCACGATAGCTCCAAATTCATCAAGCAAACAACACCAGCTATATGTTTGTGAGTCTGTGACTCCATATCAAATTTTGGCAATAACAAAAACTTTTTCAATATCAAAGTCTCATAATGGAAATCTTTTGGTTTGTAACAGTAAGCAATTTGTATTTAGATCAAGTTATCCTAGCCACAAAATTTCATTTTCCTATTTCAGTCGATGAGCTGAGTTCAAAGGTATTAATCAGGGTTAAAAATTAAAATAAAATCTTTATACATATTCTTAGATATTAATAGATATGTCTACAATTCAAGAATTCAAATGTATGTAAAATGTCACCATGTTTCTACGAATTATTACATTTTATAAAAAAAAATCCAAGAAATCATAAATAATCATTACTTAATATTGTAGGAATCTAAAACTAATTTAGTGCCACATCGGTACATGGCTAGCTCTCACCCTTCGACGCTGGACAAGGTCTAATTGGTGTGCTTTTTTGCTTACTCTTTAAATTCTCATCATTATCAATAAAAAGTAAATTAAGTTAATAAAAATGAATGCAACATTATGGTTTGTTCCTATTCCTTTTCCCATACAACATTGAGAATAAAACACAACATTGATAATAAAGAAACTAGATCAAGCCCCACAAAATATAATAAAGCTCTCTTCTTATTTGCTTAAATTTTGATTTTCTAGAATTTGTCTTCTCTACTTTTTTGTATATAGATATAGAAAAAGAAATGGTAAGCCATATTAAGTTTTTTTTTTCTCTTTGTAGGAGAATAGGATGCGGGAGTTACATGATGCAATGATTTGTTGAGAAAGAATTGAACAACTCTAACATATTTTTTCCTTTTGACGAAGAAAAGTCCAACCTATCATTTCTCCTTCTTCCCTTTTGATCCGCAGCAGGCAATTGATCTTTCTTCTTCGGAGATATCTGACTACTAGCGGTTGTCTGGCCGAGTTATAGTCTTCTTCCCATTATTTTCTTAATTTCTTACAGATTACGGCGGCTGGATAGTAAATTTCCCTTTTCGATTCAATGGTTGTATTTCTTCTTCGTTATTTTGGTAGTTGTTTTATGGTTCTCTGTTATATCCTGTATACTTTGATGTAAACATGTAACATATAATTCAAAGGGTTTGTTGCTTGGACTTGGAGCATCTCTCATTTGGTTGAATAATTGATCATTTTCCTTGGAGGCCTATTGCAACTCGATTCCTTGGATGTTAAAATGGAAAGTAGAGTTGTGAGAGTTGTTCATTATGTTTATTATGTCCATGAGTGACATGTTACTAGCTGTTATATGACGATGACCTGATCAAATAAATAGTATGTAGCAGGGGGTTAAACGAAGAAGCGGAAGATTGATGATGTGGATGCCAATGTGGTTTCTCATTCTTCCAAAATTACACGAGTAACTGATATTGCACGATATGTATGGGATCTAGATCACGATATTCTCTATTATCATATACCAACGTACGAGAAGGGTGAGATAAAGAAAGCTCTTCACTTTTTTTATTAATTGAAATATTTTTGCAAATTTTAACTTCTTCTTTTGTGTCCTTCAAAATTTTAACTTCTTTGGTACTTTGTATGCTAAAAAATTAATAATCTCTTAGTTATGTCTTAAATGGTGGATTCGATACATAATTATAAATCAATAAAGAAAGTACTAGAGAGAGCTCATCTAATAAAATTAAATTTTCATAAATAAATGAAATATATAAAAATGTGAAACAATATATGAAATTTGGTAAGTGAGATTAACAATTCAATGTATAATAGTTTAACATAATAAATCATAAATAAAATTATAATACTAGGATGAAAAATATAATAACCAATCAAAATTTGCCGCCCAACGGGCGGGTATAAAGCTAGTTAGTCCGATTATTCAAATACTCGAGAAGCGTTAATATTTGGACTTTTAGAGGTTATTAAGGTTGGTATCTCAACATATTTATTTTTCCTAAAAAAACAATTCTTCATACAAATTATTACTATTGTAGTCTCTCAAATAAGATATCTTCCAAAACCAATAATCATCCAGCTAAATAATAAAAATATCAAAAACACATTTCATAAACACCTCAAATTATTATCTTATTCACGGTCAATAGAACGTGTTA